TACGAGCGAATTGCAAGCAGGACACTCGTATATACGAGTTTAGACGAGTTTTAAAAATATCGTGGACCGCAAATCTAAAGGCTAATAATATTTCTTCTGCGTCACGGGTTGCAGGTCAACCGTCCTGCCGTGGCCGTGGCAATAAATTGCTAATCGACCTGACGTTCTTTCAGCAATTTCCGGCCGATCGCCATTTTCTCGTCTCGTGACCGCGTACACCAACGTTTTACTCCGCCACGATGGACATTTTTATATAAACGCTTTTCCGATACTGTCGATGAACGCTTCGTTATGACCACTACACCTCCACCTCTATGGTGGATGAATCTGTTCTGTGATTTTTTTATTTTTACTTTTATTCTCTCTCTCTCTCTCTCTTTTTATTCCCCGTTATAATAATGAATGGAAGTATCTCTGTTCCTTTTTTCTTCCGTGTAAAAAAAAGAAAAAGTGTTACAACACTTTAACACAGAGAGAGAATGAAATTTACGATACGATACGAGAAAGTTAAGAATTGTATATTAAAGAAATGAAAATTCATCGTTTGTAATTGTACAGGATGTTAAATGTTAATTCGTGGAACAACTTTGGAAAGTCTTGGATTCTGGATATTTTTCCTAGAAAGATAATAGTGTCACTTGCTTCACTTTAAGAAATTAACAACCGTAAAACTATCGAAAGGTTAATAACAAGAGATCGTACAATTAATCGAAAATACCGTGTACAACCGCCACAATTTTCCCCCTTTCACCCTATCACTATCCACCATTTTCAAACCGAGAAAGAATCCGCATTAACTCGTACAATGATCCACCACATACACACACACCCCCTCTCCCCCTTCGACAATACTTTCAAACTCGAATTCACTCAAATCCCCGCGCCAATCAAACAACCCTTTCGTCCCCCAAAAAAAAGAAAGAAAAAAAGGACGAAATAAACTCGATCCTACTATCCGTCGATCACCAAGGCCAATAGAAACCACTCAACTCCCTATCCGATCCCACCTCCTGGATTCATCCCCCGAAAAAGTAACCCCAGAGAGAGAGAGAGAGAAGGGGTTGTTGAAAGCGGGCAGCCGGCGGGTAATATCTGTTCGAAAAATACGAAGACACCGTTCGACTTTTAGCCCTCGGGCCGCACAAAGGTGGTGGCCACCCGCTTTCTCGCCGGCCATAAAGCTGATTCCAACCCCCTCCCCCGAAATCGAATCACGACGTTGGAAATCGTCGTTGGTCAGCGACAGAGAGAGAGAGAGAGAGAGAGAGAGAGAGAGAGCG